CTTCGAAAAAATCCATCTTTTTGTGAAAGTGCCATAGTCTACATGAAATATTCTCGGGCAATTTAATGTTTCTAAAACATCTGTTCCGTCTCAAATCTGGATTATTCCTCATAAATAAAACATGGCCACAGTTTATGCGCAATATTTTTATCATAATGACCATTTTTATTAGTCATCCACATGAGGTGTGCATTTATTTTGAAGTGAGAAATGATCGATCGAAAATTCGGATCATTCGGCGGAATAATTCCGAATGATTCACGCAAACAGCTCGAGAATAATCACGATACTGCCAACGGATTCATCACCACCACTCAATGACTGTTACGAGAAACAACTTGAAAACATCTCAAACAATTTTCAATTTCAGAATATTTTCACAACTCATCAATGGCGTGTTAACAACAATTTGTGTGATTATTGGAACGATTGGCAATGTGCACAGCATTAAGTCGATTCATATGACGAATTTCGATAAGCACCGAGGTGAGCGCTGATTTCTTTTTGTTTCGTGCCGAAATTCTGGCATGATTTTAACTCATCATCAGTAATTATTGTATTGCAATGAAGCAAAAGCAAATGCTGATTGTTTATATTCGCTGATGCTTGTGAAACAACGTACAATTTAAGTGCTTCATTGATTGTGAATGCTGAATAATGAACGATAATTTTGAGATTTATGATTTCATCGATATTTTCGGTGAAAATTCTATAAAAGCTCATCGTCAGTGCACACGTCATACAGTCACCTCGCGTTCAAATCAGAGAATTTTTCTGATTTTTAGCTCTTTTAATGCCTTTATCTTCAATTAAAATGGACCAAACGCAGTACGTACACATCACTTGCTTGCCTCAAAACGAAGGCGAGGAAGCGGAAAAAATTCGCATTTCAGTAGCGGTCTGAAAGTGACTGACGTTTGTGTCATTAATAATTTTGAATTCATAACGAGCCATTAATGAGTAGAACACCAACAAGAAAAAACATCTGTCATGCTTGTCAAAGAGAATGCATTAGATTTTCCGATCATGAGCAAAGTAATGAATTTTCGCATGATTGCGTTTGCTGCTTGAGTTGCATTTTGCGGTGAAGTAAAGGAACGCTGCTCTAAGAGTATGTGCAATTACAAATGCAAATGCAACTGATATGAATTGTGCAAGAAATAGCAATGGAAAAATAATATTATTTAAGTAAACAGTTATTCGATACTCTAGGTAAGTAANTTGCTGCTTGAGTTGCATTTTGCGGTGAAGTAAAGGAATGAGATGCTCTAGGAGTATTTGCAATTACGAATGCAAATGCAACTGATATGAATTGTGCAAGAAATAGCAATGGAAAAATAATATTATTTAAGTAAACAGTTATTCGATACTCTAGGTAAGTAACGAAGTTATATGAAAATGTGACATGGATGGGAAATTCTCATTCGCAATGAAATTTTTAGGCATTTTTTTGGGAATATCACACGAATTCAGTCATTTGCCCAGAAGCTGTAGAGTCACAGCCATGAAGCAGTTCATGAAATTGGTGGTATGAGCTGAATGAGGGACGACAAAAACAGAATCAAATAAACTCAGACGAAATGAACGGATGGTCAAGTGATTTTGTTGAAATTTCAGGAGTGGTCCTAGCCGTCTCCATATTGGCATTGGCGTTCTGGGATACGGTTCTATTGTGGTGTGCCTTTTTCTATTACGGTTTGAGTGCGTTGACACGTGCACATAACAGCGATACAACAAAACTGCTCATTCCATGGTTTCATGGCTTTTCGCAAATCGCAAACACTGCTTCGGTATGCATATTGCATCGTCTCTTGGTCATCATCATTTCATTATCCACTATTCGAGTGATCTATTTGACTATCATTCTCGGGAACCAGAATTTTTTCACCTGAATCAAAATCTCTAAACAAATGATCTCACACTGTTATCACACTTAGTCTCGCAAGTAGGCTACCATCTCGTTGTCCACATCTTCTGAGGTACTCAGTAAGCCTGTGAGTTTGCCTGATTAGACGTGTCACACCTCACTGCATGACACCAACATTTTCAGTTTAGACTCATTTAGCATTAGGTATAACTTGTATATGACATAAATATTGGATATGTGAGAAAAAGTGTGAGTGACGTTTTATTGAGTGATACTTTGAGGCATCGAAACACAGCATAAACTCGCATTTTTCGCGGCGTTTCGGGGCAAAATTTTTTCCGATGCATCTGTCATTGACAGTAAATTATACTGCTCATTCGTCAAACGAGACAAATCGTGTAGTTCTGAACATACAAACTTATTTTGCACTCATTTTGATAATAAAATGGATATGAGTTGTGCATATTACTCTCTCGCTCTCCAAAACAAAAGAACACCAAAAAATTGCGTCTTCTTATGAAGCCGGTAGATGTTTGGAAAGGGAATAAATGGAGAGAAAAATCCTAATGCATTCTCGTTCGGCTCCCATCATGGACAAACTTTGTTTGCCTTAATCGCATCACATCCTCAGCTATAACACATTCCATTCTAGAGAATATCCATGGACGTTTTTTATTCTAGAATTTCGTAATTGTTAGGGAACGTTTCAACAACTAACATGGACAAAAATTCAAACAACAAAAAATTTCAACAAATATCAAATTTCGACAAAATCCATCTGTGAACAATTATTAAATGAAATTTGATGTATTAATGAGCGGAATGGTTTAGTGTCGTGTTGAAATCATAGCACTGAACTTTAGTAATCATTGGGCTGCTGATCATTGAGATAAATGATAAGATAAAAAGATTAGAGGTAGTTTTTGCGATAAGAGATATCCTTTTCAGATTTGGTGTGTTGTCGCAATAACGGTGCAGCGGTTTATGGCCAGTCGAGATCCGTTCCGATGTTCCAGGCAGGTTTCTCACAAGTCATGCTCTATTGAAATGAAGAAAGGAACCTCAGCAAAGGTTACTGAGGGTTTCGGAAAAGCACAATGCATAATTGAAGTTGATATTTCCTTGCTCAATGATAGCTTGCTCAATAACTGATAGCTTGCTCATAAAAAACATGATCTATGTTAACTACTAATGTAAACGGCACAACAGTTATCTATGCACTCTTCCTTGAGAAGCACGAAAAAACATCACAAGAGATGCAGATATAGGCATTCAGATAACCCAAAAACTGTCTCATTCATGCACGAATTATTATCTACAGCTGAATAATCCATAAGAACTGAGACGGTACTTTAAATCGCCAACTGATTTTTCACTAATCTTTTCAGGACTAGCCGTGCACTGCTGAGTTCGTTTCGAGGTGATCGACGCAGCTCATCACTATCGATGATCTATTGCTCTATCTATAGACGACATTTTCGCATGCCTATACTGCTCTCGTTAGCCGCCATCCTTCTCAATTTACCTGCTTTCTTCGAGATTCAGTCACATGTGTGTAGGCGACGAGACGGTCGTTATGGATATGGGGTAATGCTCATAAATCTTAATCACCCTAAGACTGTGCTCCCATTTATGCGCCCACATAATTGTAGAACAATAACGACTTAATGGTTTCAACCCGTAGTGAACTCAGTGATTTTCGTCGGAGTTGTTGCAATTCCATCACAGAACAACCTAGATTCTCATCAAATCATTCATCATTTGCTATTCACTCAATGCTTTCCAAATTTTCCTGATGGCTTGAGCTTCTTCGAGCAACCTTCGAAGTTTGTCGAATCAACTGAGCAGAGCATCTGGAGCATTTTAAACTGGGCGCCATGTTTTGTGGAGAAATTTTTTCCTATTTTATTAGTG